TATGGTCGATGTGCCCTTGGCCGTGTTCAAACGTCTTGGGAACCAGTTGAACGCGAGGAACGGACATGTTCAATCTGCTCCGTAGTCTTCGACTGGAGTCTCCAATCGCAGCGACACGCTCGTAATTCGCACCTCCATCGGCCGCTACCCAGTTCACATCACGCCAGCCCTCCTGGAGGCGGGCGCGCAGGGAGGATCTGGAAATCGAGACGGCAACCCAAAGGACCCAAGAAGACGAAGACTACGCCAGAAGAAGATCCCAAGAAAACCTCTGAGACCCTGAAGAAATCCGCCAACGACCCGACAACAAAAGGTGTTGTGCCTCATGATGAAACTACGATTGAGTCTCGCCCAGACACAGCGAAACTTGGCAGGGGTAGTTCTCGACGCGTTCATCGTTCCCGCGGACCACGCCCTCGTCGCCAACATGAGCCAGCAGACCTCCGCCTACGCCGACCAGGTAAAGGCCGCGGGAAAAGATCACGCTCTGGCCCCCCCGCACATCTGGGCCATGGGGGCATAATGGAAGCCCTGGTCGGATAAGGAGACGCAGTCGGAGCCAGGACGGCCGAAGAGCTTTGCGCGGCGTTCGGGGAGTACGGGGGCTATTCAGCGCCACAGAAGTGCGAGCTCGTGCTGTTCTGCCGCCAGAATAACATGTATCAGAAAGACTCACGCAGGGTTAAGATGGCCTTCAGGGATCGCATCTTTCGGAAAATGATCGTGGAGGCCACGATGCAGATAGGGGGTCCAGAGGGAGTTCGGCAGGGCCCCAGCCGCGCTCATGGAACGCGAGTTGCAAACATCCCTGGAGACGCTTCTGAGCTAGACAGGGCCCTGTCGGATTCGGGGCTGAGACAACATGTCGTGAGCCATTCTGAAGCCTCCGCCAGCATGCCCAGCTGTACGCTATTGGTTGCGCGCTTTTGATATGTCAGCATCGCAGAGTAGAGCACACTCGAGGAAGAAGATATTGGCATTAAAGGTTTGCGAATCCAATCGAATTCAGTTCCTCCTCCCTCCTCCTCCTCCCTCCTCCTCCTCCTCCTCCTCCTCCTCCTCCTTCTCCTCCTCCTCTTCCTCCAGCGGGGTGCTCCCACTGATCCCGCCAAGATGCGGACCGTTGGGCCCTGCCGGGCTACCCCGCAGAGGCACGGGAGCGGTAATGAATCATCGTGTGTCGTGTCGTGATGAGCCCTCCTTGCCGGCCAGCGTCCGTGGTCACTTCGTCGCCATCACACGAAGAAAAGGCGGAGGGGGAGAGAGCAGAAGGAGGAGGAGGAGGAGGAGGAGGAGGAAGAGGAAGCATGGGGGGATGAGGAGATGCCCGGAAGGCGGGGTGGCGCCGCTCCTCGAGCTCTTCCTCGTAGTCGTGTTCGTCATCCTTCTCCCCCCTCCGCCTTCACCTCCTCCTCCTCCTCCTACACCTCCTCCTCCTCCTCCTTCTCCTCCTCCTCATCCTCATCCTCATCCTCATCCTCCTCGTGTTCGTCGACGTCGTCGTCGTCGTTGTCGCCGTCGTCGTCATTCTCTTCCGCCTCCTCGTCTTCCTCCTCCTCCTCCTCCTCCTCCTCCTCCTCCTCCTCCTCCTCCTCCTCCTCTACCTACCTCGTCTTCCTCCTCCTCCTCCTCCTCCTCCTCCTCCTCCTCCTTCTCCCTCCTCCTCCTTCTTCCCCTCCTCCGCTTGCGCGTTGGGCTCCTTTGAGTGTGCATTTGCTCTGTGAAAGTCCACTAGGGCCCTCTCCTGCCAACTCATGCTCAAAATTTTGGATCGTCGTCGTCCTCCTCCTTCGCCGCTGCGTGAGCAGCTGCTCTGCGGGCTGACGGGTCATCGGAACCCTCTCCCGCCACGTTCTGATCTTCTTGCGCGGGCGTGGCTCCTGCCGCCTGGCCGACGAACGCGTCCGCCTCCCCCGAACTGGAGGATTCCGCGAAGGAGGGTTAGGGGATCGGTTAGGAGTTGGCCGGGCTCACGGAAAACCGGCCCCAGGGAAGTGGTCCAGACCTCCGGGGCCTACGCATCGTAAACATTAGAGCACTCGGGTGTTTGGGAAGCTCCTTCCGAGCGTGACGATTCGCGTGCTGGAGCACTTCGCGTTGCCGAGGTTTTTGCCAGGAGGCTCCCCCCTAGAGGTGCCGGCTCGGCTCGCGTGCGGCGATCACTCCGTGGCCCGCGCTTCTGCCATGAAGAAGTTCCGTCCGAGCGCGCCGGCTCGTTTTTGGGGCTCCTTTCGTTGCCTCATTGAGTTGGCTGGAGCAGTTCTTGGAGTTGTACTTCTTCACTCTTCCCATAAGGCATCATACAGTACGTTCTACCCAGATGCCGAGGATCGATTGAACGACCCCCTTCTGCGTATGGTCTTTCCATATTTATCAAGAGGCGTACGCCATTCCGCCGATCCCCAGAAGAGGCGGGGAGTCCACGGTTGAGGCGTCGTGGGCGTCTTGGGCATTATTTGGGGACTCTTGTGGGCGGCTTGGGAGCTGTTTGGAAGCCTGGCGGGGCCTCTTGGAGGCAGTGTCGAAGCGTTTTGATGCCCGTTTTGGGGCCTCTTTCGGGCCAATTGGAGGCATTTGGGGGGCTTCTTGGGGGCCTCTTTGCGGCCGTTTCTGGGTTTCTTGTGGCCTTTGGGGGGCTTCTTGGGGGGGGGAAGATAAGATGTTCGGTTCGCGTTCTCCCTCGTTGCCTCTCCGGGGGCCATCTTGGGGCGATCTTGGGCCGTCCTCGGGCCCTCTTAGGGGCCTTTGAGGCAGTTGGGGGCAGTCTACCGAGCCTCTTGGGCCGAGTTGGAGCGTCGGAAGCTCGAGAAGACGATTACCCCAGAAACAATGCAAAACCTAAGGAAAACCATTGAACGACCCCCCTTTTTCCGCGCAATGTCATTCTATAAGAATTATACACTACTTGTCATCCAAAGGACGAACTAGTACCAGTCCAGCCAGGCTCCTTTTCCACCCTCCCCTCATCCTTGCCAAATAAGACTGAGCGGAGTCCTCGCTTTGACCTTACAAGTGCATGTCCATTGGAGTTGTGCCACAAAACACCATGCGGGCCACACGGTTGCGCACAGTTCAAAATCCGTGCAAAAGTGTTGAACAACAAATGCACGTGGTTGGTATCCGATGCAAAATGTGTTAGAGCTCTTGTGCATGCATTCGCTCAACATCCGCACCAGCACCATCATCATCGTCGTCGTCAGCGTCGTTATTGCCACAGTCATATAAACCATCGTTGCCGCCATCATCACACTCGTCACCATCGTCATCGTCGTCGTCGGCACCGTCATCATCGCCATCAACATCATCATCCTTGTCGTCGTCGCCGATGTCGTCACCACGTCAACACGTCATCACTCGCCTCCCCGAGACGTAACCTGCAAGATACGGGTCCTCACGCCACTGCGCCAGCTGAATGTTGCCCATCAGTCGCAGGGTGGTCGGTGGGATGCTCGCTCGAGCATTGAAGCTGGCGTCTCCAAGTCTCTTTTAAATCAGAAGCTGCACCCTCTAGATTACACGCCGGGCGTTGCAAGCAGGTATTTTTTGATTCTCAGATCCAAATCTATTTCAAGCGCCTTCCTTCTTCAAGAATCGACGCGCTTTTGCTGTGCTTTGTTATTCCCTGGGGGGGCCTGGACCCAATCAACTTAATCCGCCTTCCTACTTCATTCCCTACCTAGGCTCTGCCTAGAAGGGTTCTTACCCTGTAAGCGTAAGGGGCCGGGCAGTGGAAACCGCCCCAGGCGGTTCCCCCAGGATCCGCCCCGCGGTTCCCCCAGTCCCTTGGGAGCTTTAGTTTTAGCTTTAGCTTAGATTTCGCTTAGCTTTAGCTTAGATTTAGCTTAACGTTAGCTTAGCTTTAGCTTAGCTTTAGCTTAGCTTTAGCTTAGCTTTAGATTAATTTTAGCTTAGCTTTAGCTTAGCTGTAGCTTGGTTTTCGCTTAGCTTTAGCTGAGCTTTAGCTTAGATGTAGCTTGGCTTTAGCTTAGCCTTAGCTTAGCTTTCGCTTAGCTTTAGCTTAGCTTCAGCTTAGCCTTAGCTTAGCCTTAGCTTAGATTTAGCTCAGCTTTAGCTTAGCTTTAGCTTAGTGTTAGCTTAGTTTTAGATTAGCTTCAGCTTAGCTTTAGCTTAGCCTTAGCTTAGCGTTTGCTTAGCTTTTGCTTAGCTGTAGCTTAGCTTTAGCTTAGCTTTAGCTTAGCTTTACTGTTACTACTAATGCTGCTTTCCTGGGGGCTCCAACTCCTAGGTAGGGTCGCACTGGGATAATGTTTCTATCTACCTCTTCCGACCGACGTGTACACCGCGTAATTGCTCAGACTCACTGTTTGGGGAGGTCCACCTCGCTGGCCTCATGGCCATCCGCGCTCCGCCCTCCCAGAGCACGAGAGGCCACTGCAGGAACACGATCAGTTGTTAGCTGCTCGCTTTTTGTCTACAGGACCTCCGTGGAACACTGCAGGTCATGAGCAAGGGCTCCCACGAAGGCGCGAAGTGAGTCGCGCTTCGCGCTTCGCGGGCCTCATTCCTCCTCCCCCTCCTCCTCGTCCTCCTCTTCTCCCCTTTCGGGGCGGCGCGAGAGCGCGAAGTTGTTCGCGCTTCGCGCAGCGCGAAGCGCGAAGTGAGGAGCCCTTGCTGAGGCGGATTGTTGGACGCAGATGTCTCGTTCAAGTTGAGCCCTGCTCTCGTTGGACGATCTACGGGAGTTCTCCCTCCCAGCACTGGCAGCAGACGTGCGCTCGGTTCGCGCCGCGTCGACGCGGCGGCAACCCCAGCGTGGACGTTCAAGCGTGCCCGCCGCCAGTGGCCTGGAACCAGCCAGTGCCGAACGATTCGCGCCATCCGAAAGCCGCGATCGTGCAAGGCTGAGCGATCCGCGCAGCGTCAGAGACGAGCTCGCAGGCCGGCACGGCGCGAACTCGCCGCAAGTGGTCACCAGAGCTGATTGCCATCGAATTGTGCTACCCTCCCTCCACTGCCTCTGCGAGGGAAGGGCGCCGCAGGCCTTGGAGGAGGACGAGGTGGAGGCCCAAAGGACTGCTTCTCCAGGTACGCGCGCGCGCCCTGTTGTGGATGGAGCTCAGAGGGAGCAGCATTAGGAGAAGGATCGGGTGGAGCTGGAACAGCCAAGAAAGTCACCTTGCACAAGTGTCGACATCGCCCCACCTCTCAGGACCGCCCGGAACGTAGCCGCTCCTGGCTCGAGAACACAAATATGCTCCTGTCGCCATGGCGGCGGCCGACAAGAAGGCGGAGCGCCGGCAGTTCTTCTCGTCGGTGCTCGCCCACGGCAGCGCACGGGTCATCTCCAAGGTGGCCTCGGCGCCGCTGGAGCGGGTCAAGGTGTGCCTGCAGGTGGGGCGCCTGCCGCCCGGCGCGCTCCCCGCTCTGCGCCAGGTGGTCGCCCAGCAGGGCGGACGAGCGCTCTGGCGGGGCTCGGGGGCGCACATCGCGGGCGTGTGCGCGGGCGGAGCGCTTCGGCTCGGGGCGCTGCGGACCACGCAGATGTGGGCCATGCCCGGGGGCGACCGGCAGTACACGGGCCTCTCCGCGTACGGCCGGCGCTGCGCGTTCCTCTACGCGGCGGGGGCAGGGGCGCTGCTCCTCGCCTACCCGTTCGACGTGGCGTACACGTGCCTGGCCGCGGACACCGCGCCTCAGCCCGAGGAGGAAAAAACGCCATGAACATAAGCTTTTGGCGCTCCGCGCGGATTCCTCGGATCCGCGCTGGACCCCCCTCGCTGGCGCGCGGGGCGCGCCAGGGGCGGCGCCGCCGGAGGCCGCCAGGGGTGCCCGGCGCGGGTCTAAGAAATCCGCGCGGAGCGCCAAAAGTTTATGTTTATGGAGTTGTTTCTTCTTCTATCAGCGCAAGCTCAGGGGCTTCTTCCACTTCGCAGCCTTGGCATACCGCCACCATGGCGCGCTGGGCCTGTACCGGGGCCTGCCTCTCTGCCTGCTCACGGCCCTGCCCTTCGTGGCGGTGGCGACGGCCGTGCACGACCTGTTGGCGCCACTGGCGCTGAGCCGCATGGGCCAGGCGCCGCTGCCGAGGGTGGACCACATCCTGGCCCAAAAGAACATATTTTTGAAGGCAGATCTGCCTTCAAAATTATTCAGTGCGTGGAGCTTCTCACACGTGCATCTATTTGCATGGACCTTTCCGCTGTGGGTGCCTAGGCGCAGGAGACTTCGAATATAAACAGGTTTGAGTATTGATAGACTGGGAGTGAATCTAACAGTGAATGAGTTGGAGTGTGAATGAGCCTCAGTAGTACGAGTGAGTCTGTGCGCATGAGCCTGGGGCCTCCCTGGGGCTTCCTGTGGCCTCCTGGAGCCTCTTGGGGCCTCCTGGAGCCTCTTGGGGCTTCCTGGGGCTCGGGGGCTTCCTGGAGCCTCCTGGAGCCTCGTGTGGCCTCCTGGGGCCTCCTTGAGCCTCCTGGAGCCTCGTGGGGCCTCCTGGGGAGGATTCGTGTCTCAGGAGAGGCCCAATAGATAGGAACAGACGTACATAAAACACTGCGGATTGGAGCCACAGGAGAAGGGCAATCTATAGGAACACACGTAAATCACCAAGGTGTTGTGCCCCAGGGGAGGCCCAATCTATAGGAACATATGTAAAACACTTGGGATTGGATACGCAGGAGAAGGACAATGTATAGAAACATACGTATAACACCAAGGACTCGTGCCCCAGGGGAGGCACAATCTACAGGAGCATACGTACAACACATGGGATTGGAGCCACTCCTGTGGCCTTCTGAGGCCTCCTGCTCCTGGGGCCTCCTGGTGCCTTCCGGGGCCTCCTGGTGCCTTCCGGGGCCTCCTGGTGCCTTCCGGGGCCTCCTGGTGCCTCCTGGCGCTTCTTGTGGCCTCCTGGGACCTCCTGTGGCTTCCTGTGGCCTCCTGAAGCATCATGGAGCCTCCTGAGGCCTTCTGGAGCTTCCTGGGGCCTCCTGGAGCCTATTGGGGCATCCTGTGGCCTCTCGAGTCTTCCTGGGGCTTCCTGATGCCTCCTGGGACCTCCTGTTGCCTCCTGGGGCCTCTTGGAGCCTGCTGGAGCCTCCTGTGGCATCACGGCGAGGATCCGTGCCCACGAGTCTGGCCACCAAAACAGGCAAACCGATCGAGACATCCTCACCTTCTGTCCCCGCATGGACTTGAAAACGAGCGCCTCGCTCGAGACATCCTCAGCATCTGCTTCGAAAGCGGAGGATCTTGGGCATGCAATCAGGCAAACCGCTCGAGACATCCCCGCCATTTTGGCGCGAATGGCGGCCGTGAGATACCCGTGGCGGCCCCCCCTTAGGAGTGCTGAAACCCACGCCTCGCTCGAGACATCCTCAGAATTTGCCCCGCCATCATCATCATCATCATCATCATCATCATCATCATCATCATCATCATCATCATCATCATCATCATCAGCAGCAGCAGCAGCAGCAGCAACAGCAACAGCAGCAGCAGCATCATTATCATCATCATCATCATCATCATCATCATCATCATCATCATCATCATCATCATCATCATCATCAACATCAACATCAACATCAACATCAACATCAACATCATCAGCATCAGCATCAGCATCAGCATCAGCATCATCATCACCATCACCATCATCATCATCGTCTTCATCATCACCACCATAATCACCATCATCATCGCCAACGCCTCGCACGAGACATCCTCCAAACGCCATAATACTCTTATTGTCATCAGGAGGAGGAGGAGGAGGAGGAGGAGGAGGAGGAGGAGAAGGGAGGAGGGTGTGTGTGAGAGAAGAGTGCGCGCGGTCACAGTAATGACAAGAACCGCATCCTTTGGATGTGGGGACAAAGAACGTATTCGTTAAAGGCAGATCTGCCTTCAAGAAATACGTTCTTACAGAGGCGCCGCTGCCGAGGGTGGACCACATTCGAAGAAGAAGAAACGCCATGAACATACACTTGTGGCGCTCCGCGCGGATTTCTTGGATCCGCGCCGGGCCCCCCCGGCGGCCCCTGGCGGCGCCGCCCCCGGCGCGCTCCGCGCGCCAGGGAGGGGAGTCCAGCGCGGATCCAAGCAATCCGCGCGGAGCGCCAAAAGTTTATGTTTATGGCGTTTTTCTTCCTTCTACACATCCTGGCCCAAAACGTCGACTTTGGCACCGACCTGCCAGTCCTGGTCCGGGACGCGGCACCCACGCACCTCTATCCTTGGAATCTGATGGTCGGGGCCGCATCGGGCTTCGCAGGGCAGGCCGTGACCTATCCGCTCGACACGGTGCGGCGCAGGTGGCAGCACACGTGTTCGGAGCCTCGCTCGGAAGGGGTGCCGAGGACGCTGCGAGGATGCGCCGAGCGGGTGTGGGCGGAGGGCGGGTGGCGCGCGTTGTACGCGGGCTTCGGCGCGAACGCCGTGAAGTTGGTGCCAGAGCTCGCCGTGCTCTCGGGCACCTACTTCGTCATTAACTCCTCCGGCTTCTTCGTGTGAGGCGCAGCGGCGGAGGCCGCGGGCCGTGCCCCTCTCCGACCCAGCTCGGGGAGCCGCGCCTGCCAGGCCGCGTCGGTATTCTCCCTCTGGTTTGCCCCCTCCGTCGACGCTGCGACGTCCCTCCGCGGGTCTCAACGGCAGCATCGTCGCACGGCTGCCTGCTGGCCCATCGCAACTCTATTATGTGGCAGCTATCGCGCCGCTCCTCGCAGGATGCGGTTGCACACCGGCCGGTCGGAATTACCTCTGTGGTTCGCTGATTAAAAGACTAGATCAGTGCACAGCCGACAAGCATTTGTGATTGAAAGCCGGTGCACCGGCGCCAGACGAGTCAGCGCAGCGCGCGTGCATTACAGATTGCCATATTGGTTGCGCGTTGAGTAGTGCATGTATGCTCTGGCCGAATGCATCCATCAAAAGGCGCCCTGGCGTTATACCTTTCTGCGGTCAGCCAAGTGTTTGCAGCATGTGCTGTGGTTGAAGCAGATGCAAGACGTGCAACAGCTTGTTTGCCGCACTTTGACGATTGTGCGTGTCATTTGACGACGAGCTTCGGCGCATTGTATGCAAATTGTTGCGCGCAGTGAGTGTTGATGGGTACGTCTACGTACTGCTGGGGCATATTCGTGGTCCTCTTAAGCAACGGGTGTTGCGCGCACGTAGAGTCGCGGGGCACGCGTGCGAGCTTAGCTTTATCACGCGTGCTTGGAGAGCAGCAGTTTGTTCGGAACACGAGTGCCTGGGTGCTTACCGGGAATCTCGTATTGCATGGTTGTCTGAAGCGTACGCAGCGCGATAGAGACTTAGTACAGAGTTGGATCACGATGCGTACACTCGCCGTGTGGATCGCGAGATGGCACAGGGCTCGGATCATTGTTGTTTAAAAGTGTACTCCGCATGCCATATATCTAGCATCGGGTGGGCGGTAGCTGCAAGGATGGAAGCGAAATGGCGTGCGCCTGCGCGATGAGTGCAATGATCTCCTTGCTCGAGACTGCGCCGAAGAGGAGGAGGATCGTAAACTTGAGGAGGAGGTTCCCTCATCCATTCGCTTTTCATCAGCAGAGCGAGCACCTTGGCGCCGGACAGGCAGCAAGTGGGTTCACCAGCACAAATCGCGCGACAAGAAGGCATTTCACCGACCTTCTGCAATATGGCTCTACAGAACAAGTTGTTTCGCAGTCTCGAGAGCGACGGCGCCGAACACTTCAAGAACACTGCGACCAGAAGGACCATCCAACAATGGCCCATTGCAAACGATCGCCCACGAGACACTGAACTTGAGCTTCGCAGCACACCCCACGACAATCTCGAAATCAACGACCTTCCCGCAGTGGCGTCGGTACCAAGGTTCGCACCAAGTCACACGACAAGGAGCAGTCCAGCGCCCCGGCAAAGAACCCCCATCAGTGCCACGACAGCCGCTTTCGCTGTGGCGGCGCCGTGCCAGCGCAGACAAGGGCTGCAGGAGCAGAACGGGTCACCAGGGCATTGCGTTGGGGACGTGGCAGACGCTCTGATGCTAACGGCGGCGCCCTCGGCCCAAGGAAGCCCCGGCTTTCCACCCGTTCTGGTGGCGCATGGGCCCCTTTCGTGGGAGGCGTCTGACAGGGCTGGACCTGAACGCTGTTTTGCTGGACTTCGGCGGTGTGCAGGTTTTTTGTTGCGGGAGGGAGGTACAGGAAAACGGGTAGAGCAAAGCGAAGCACGAAACGAAACCAACACGAAAATCAACGTTTGGGCCCAGCCCTGTTTTGGTGGCTCAGGGGCTCCTTTTCGTGGGAGGCGTCCGAAGGCCACCTGGGGGCCTCCCTGGACAAAAATCTGGGGCCACCTCGGGCCAGGAGGCCCCGGGCACCGCCCGCAAGAGAAGGGCGCCGGGCAGACAGAGCACAGCAAGGTCCGCTTCGATCCGATCGATCAAGTTCGGTGCAGTCGAAGCAGCTAGCAAGGATGAGCGATCCGAGGGAGAAAGCACTGCATAAACCTACACGTGTTGGCGCTCCGCGCGGATTTCTAGTTCCTGCGCTGGAGCGCCCTGGCGGCGCACCCAGCGCCGCCCCCGGCGCGCTCGGGGGGCCCAGTGCAGATCCAAGGAACCCGCGCGGAGCGCCACAAGTTTATGTTTCTTTATGTAGGTTGTTCTTCTTCCAGCGACGTCCCAATGGTACCCTCGCATCCGTGCCTCTTCGGTCTGTCCTGAATCACTCTCGATGGCTGCGCCCCGCTCGAAAAGCTCGGGCACGGGCGTCCACGGGGCTTGCATCCCGATCGCGCATCCTTGCTGTCAGTCTTGACTGCCTTGGTTCTGCCCGGCCCGATCGGATGCGATGCCGATCCTCTGACGATCTGGTGTGGATCGAGGTCTGCATGGCGTGCCTGTGCATCCCCGGCCCCGCCGGCCGATGCCGATTCCGCGCCGAGGCCGCCCGATCCGACGCACGGTCCCATTCGACGGCCCAGGAGGCCTCCAGGAGGTCCTCCAGGAGGGCCCGAAAAGAGGCCAAAGTCCTTCACTTCCCCGCAGGTGCTTGAAAGACTTTTTGGCATTTGCTTCTTCTCGGCGTTCCGACGTCTCAGGACGGCGCGGGAGGCCCCCGAGATCGCCCAGGAGGCCTGCAGCGTGGCCCCTATGAAGGCCCAGGAGAGTGCACCGCGGTGGTTTCCGTTGCTTGGCCCGAGTGGACCCTCGCTGGCCCGCACCCGCTCGCCCTCGCCCGGCGTCCTCCGTCGCCCGCCGTCCGCGCCCGAGGTGCCACCCGGAAGGCCACTCGCTGGACCACGCCGGGCAGGTCCCGGCTCGCGAGAGCGGCCTCCGCGGCCGCCTCCGCAGGAGCGCCGCCGCCCTCCTCGGGCTGTCTCAAAGGGCGCCCTGCTCGGCGTCGTCGGCCGCGGTCCGGCCTCCTCCTCGGCTCCTCCCATCCGACGGCCGTCGCTCGGTGCGTGCCATCTCAGAGGATCCAGCGAGTGGGGCAAATCCAAGAAGAAAGAACTACACACACACACACCACACACATGCGCGTTCGAAGGACCACGCGGATCTCCTGGATCTGCGCTGGACTTCCCTGGCGGCACCTCCGGCGCCGCCCTTGCCGCGCTCCGCGCGCCAGGAGGCGGGTCCATTTCCGATCCACGAAATTGGGGTGGGCTTTCGAAAGGTTGTGTGTATGGTTCTCCCATATCCTCAGTATGCTTTTTTGTTGCTCCCCGTATCCTAAGAATGGGGTTATTGTTATTAGTGTGACGCCTGCTTCTCCCACCCCCTCCTTCTTTCATCCTGTCTCATCCCTCTCTTCACTCGCACTTAGACTCACACGCACTCAGGTTCGCTCACATTCAGCCTCACTCGCACTCAGGTTCGCTCGCATCGGGATGTGTCAGGCGGTTCCCCTGTTTAGTGGTTTGGATTTGGGTGCGGACGGAGCAGACTGTGCGTATAACTCGAGCGAGGCGTTGGCTTCAGCACTTCAAGGCACAGCCGCAAGGGTTGGTTGCACGACCCCGTTCGCGCCCAGATCGTGGGGATGTCTTAACTATGCGGTCTGCTTGTTCGGTAGCTTGAACTTCGGTGCTTTCAGAGCAACTTGTGAGGATGTCTCGAGCGAGGCGCTGGCTTCAGCACCCCAGGCGGGGATGCATCGAGCGAGGTGCTCGGTGTTGCACCTTTGACCCCTGCCGGTGCAAAGCCACGTGATCCTTTCGATGTGGGGAGAAGGACGGCCGCCAGGACGGAGGAGAGGGGACGGAGGAGGAGCGAGGAGGAAGGAGGAGGACGCAGGAAGAGAGGGAGAGAGAGAGAGAGAAGGGAGGAGGGAAGGATTGCAAAAAAAACCTTGGTTTGCAAAAAAACTTTTGGTTGTTTGCAATCTATGTTTTTGCAATCCTTGTTTTTTTTGCAATCCCTCCTTCGTTCGAGAAGGGAGGGAGTGCGTCGAGGAAGGAGAGAGGAGGGGGCCCACTCACCCCTTGCCAGTCTGTGAGTTGTCGTCGTCGCCGTCCTTCATCGTAGCCGCCGCCGCCGTCGTCTCGGGCCCGCTCCTCCTCCTCCTCCTCCTCCTCCTCGACCTCCTCCTCCTCCTCCTCCTCCTCCTCCTCCTCCTCCTCCTCCTCCTCCTGACACTGACCGCCGGACGCTCACAGCGGGACGTGCCAGGAATCGAGATACACATATGGGGATGCGCGCGCCTAGTAATGAGTGTGGCGTCTCCTTTTCCCTTTGCCCGCCTCTCTCATCCCTCTCCCGACTCGAGCTCAGACTCACTCGCACTCGGGTTGGCTCAGATTCAAATTCATTCGCATTCAGACACAGACTAAGACTCAGTCATACTCAGACTCAACATCCAGACTCATCCCGACTCATGTACTCTCATAGGCAGATACATTCAAACACAGTCACAGTCAGACCCTCCTCGCACACCCAGAAGCACTCCCATTCCAGTTCGCCCACAGTCAGGCGCACTCACAGTCAGACGCGCCCACACAGACCACCTACACTCACGCTCGCCTCACACCCATATTGTGAGGATGTCTCAAGCGAGACGCTGGTTGCAGCACCCGAAGTGAAGCTGCCAGGGGTGGTTGCACGGCCCCGTTCGCGCCTGGAGCGTGGGGATGTTTCAAGCGGTGTGCGTGTTTGGTGGTTTGGACTGGACTTCGATGTTTTCTGAGCAGATTGTGAGGATGTTCCAAGCGAGACGGAAACGCTATTTTCAGCACCCGTTTGTTCCCAGATTGTGGAGATGCCTCAAGCGGTTTGCCTGTTCGGTGGTTCGGCGTTCGGCGCTGTCAGAGCAGGTTGTGGTGATGCTACAAGCAAGGTCTGAATTTCAACACCCACAGGGGGGCCGCCAGGGGTGGCTGCACGGCCCCATTCGCGCACAGTGCAGCTGTCGGGGCACCCATATGCAATTAGCTGTTCTGATGCGGCATCAAGCTGGAGGAGCATACCGATGCCTGGACGACCACACACCGACGACTGGCAAGCTTGACTCCACGCAGGACATCACTCAGGACTCCAAACAGCACATCCAGGACCATGACTCCCAGCAGCACGCCCTGAAGACGCAAGCAACGAAGGAAACGGGGCCTGCTCGCATGGCGAGCGCGGGCTCTCGACAGGACCAGCACACCCACGACCACAGCAAAGGATCACCTAGAACAGTGCGTTTTGAGGATAACGCCGACAGCCACGGCACTAAACAAATCATTCAAAATGGTCCCTCTATCGCTGGGTGCCGACCGGCACGGGAGGCGTCGGGCAACTATGTTGCCAACGCCGACTCCGCTAACAAATTGTCGAGGACCACTACGACGATTGCGGCTCGGACCTCGCGGGACTCATCCCAGCCATCGGCGAGCCGGGTCACGCCGACGAATACGACAAGGCCGAACTACATGACAATTTCACCTCAGTGTTGCCGGCATGGTGATTCTAAGGATCGTCGGCCCCGGTGTCAGGTCGCCACCTGACGAGTTCCCAAGTGACGTCACAGCCGAGATCGACACCATGCACCACCTCCTCACCTACCTCGCCAAATCCAACTACGGCGTCAACATCGAGATTTGTGGCGGGGATGCCTGGACTAGCCAGCTTGCTGTCTGGCGCCACGTCAGATCGGTTGGAAATGTCGACTTGGTCACCGGCTGCGACTTCAACGACGAGGACCAGCAGCGAGCCGTAGAGCGGCAGATGCGACAGCACCAGCCCCTATTGGCCATTATGGCTCCGACTTGCTGGCCGTGCGATCATTGGGCGACGTACAACTACAAGCTAAAGTACGACACGTGGCTGCACTCTAACCAGGACGCGGCCCTACGCAGACGGTTCTGCGTCCACGTAGCACAGCTAGAATTCAAGTCGGGCGGCTATTTCGTCAACGAGCAGCCCGATCCATCGCGGCCGTTCTCCGAGACGCCGTGGCCAGACGCGTTTGTAGCACGTGGCGTGGACGAGGTCGTCTTCGGCCAGTGCATGCTGTGACTCCGTTGTCGCCATGGTGGTATCTGAAGGAAACCCACAGGTTTTGTCACCAACATCCCGGAAAGCAGCGAGCAGCGCAGCACCCCCAAGTGCCCGAACAGGCACAGGCACGCCCACGTCGAGGGCCACAGTTTCGACGCAACGATTTGGCCTTGGAAGTTGCCCGATTGTCTTGCTCAGGCCACTGTGGATTTACATCGCGGCCCTAGGCGCTCGCATCTCGCGAACTACGTCTGTGAATGCGACGCCCCCGCGGCAGCCTTTGCAGCAGTGGCCTCTGGAGCCTCTGGGGTTGAGATCCGGAGCGAGATGGCCGCCGAGCGCGCGCGCTACACGCTCGAGGCGCGCAAGCGCAAAATACGGGCGGATTCGCCCCTGCACTCCCCGGGGCCCAGCCGCGCGCCGATGCCCGCACAGTGCTCCCATCCACGGGGAGTGCCCAGGCTGCCGCGAGAAGAAGGAGCGCGATCACCCTGCACACACGCGCACACACACGAGTTCAGCGAGCGAAGCTTCGCGGGCCCCCACGCACGGCCGCGCCCACGCGCAGGCTAACACCCACGAGCACCAGCACGACCTGGAGAACCATGCCACTCTGGCGATCAGCACGCCCATCTAACTGGAGGAGCCGTTTTGGGAGCAGCCGACGAATCTGTTCTGCCACCACCGCGATCAGCGACATCAGGAGCCCGCTCGTCGCCCAGCGCCGGGGTTCGGGGTAGCGGTTCCAGCAACTGCGCTGCTGGGCCGCAGCGCTCTCGTTCGGGCGACTGCGCCACCGGGCCGAGACTGCGAACCAGCCCGGTGACAAGGGCGGCGCCGAGGCGAACAGCACGACGAGCCACCGACGCATCGCTTGGAAACTCGGTTCTTTCCGATTGCATTCGCTTCGACCGTCACCGCGTCACCGCGAGCAATGCGCGAGGGCTCGCTTTCGACGCGCACGCGAGAGCTGCGCAAGCTGCACCCCCTGCGGTGGCACGCAACCAAGGAGGAGATGGCACGAGCGCCACGCGCAGACAAAATCCCCCAAGCCATCCTCGACCTCATCCCCAAAGTAGTCAACGTCTGTAGGGGGCGCCGTGCATGGCAACCGCCAGCGCGCGAGACCACCCCTGCACCCCCCGTCTCGACACGATTCAACCAGCACGTCGTAGGCGACATCTCCCACTACAAGTATCGCACGATCATGCACTTGACCTGCTGCGCCCCAAGGTGGCGCAACGATTAGGATACCGATGCAAAGCGCGGTTCGACGCTGATTACCGCCATCGACCGACCGTGGACCCAGCTGTTCGGCGCGACGGAGACTTTCATCATGGACGGCGAGGGCGGCGCGACCTCAACGCTACGCGGGGGAGATGGCACGGCGAGGAATCCAGGTGGATATCAGAGCTCCGCGACAGCGCGCCCGCCCCATCGCGCGACGCGGGGCTATATTACACCATGCATTCCGCGCCGTAGAGAAGCAGCTAGAGCGCGATGGCACTACATCCAACTTCGACTCTACGCTAGCTCGGCAAGAGCCGCACCCACGTTGACGGCGGAAGACCACGCAAAGTCGTCGTCGGGAAGCAGCCGCCTACGATGCGGGCGAGGCATCCGGCGACTCCGTTGCCGGCGCCAGCCTTCCTCTGCTGGCGAGGAAGCGCAGCCCGGCCGATTGCTGTGGCGAGTCCGAGAGATCGCATTGCAACCCGTGATCGAGGCCGCGCCCATCTCCCGCGTCAGCCGCGCCCTCGGGGCGCGCGCGACAGAGTCCGGAGAAGGCCGCTTCAACGTTAGCGACCAGGTGGGGTTCCACAGGCCTTCGAGCACGAAGGACGCATCAAGCCGGGCGGGCCCCGAGACCGTCGCGTCTGTCGACCCAGCTCGTTGCGAGGTCGTAGGTTGCAGAACGCCGAGTCCTTCACCGGCGCCGTCTTCGACGACGTTGGCACCCGATTGGCGCGAGCTGGCCTGGCCCGGGACCGAGTGGAGGATTTCGTAGAGCACATCAACCAGGATCAGGCATAAGGACCTCTGGCCACTGGGAGGACGCAAGGGGTGCACAGATCACCTCGCAGATGCGGCAACCCCCAGCATCCACGAAGCTCTACGCCATGTATCACGCAGATGCGTTCGCTGCCAGACGTCCGTTCCACGCGTCTACTGCTCGGCCAAAAAAATGTGGGCGGCTGGCCGGGCTGCTCCCGCGGCCGAGTCATCTGGCGGGCCTCTCAGAGCCCAGGCGCCATTCAGTCGACGGCGTTCAGTTCGACGCCCGCGCGCTCATCGGCGAGCAGTGGAAGGACGCTCGCACCACCCAGGTCGCCTTGGGTGACGACACGCTCATAGCAGCAGACGCACCACAACATTTCCAGTGGAGCGTTCGATGGGTATGTCGTCGACACCCCAGATAACGCTGCGTGCACCACTGAGGGGCGAGCCCCATCAGCGCGGCCGGCCGTGCCAGAAGAGACTGGCAGCGATTTCTCCGGCCACGCCCAGCAGGCGACGTCGGCAGCTTGGCGCGAAGTCGAAGGGGCAGAAGATCCGACGCGGCAACTATGGAGAGCGACGACAGCCAGCACATGACCCTTCGCTGCTGTCGAGCACGCCGCAGCCCGTCTCGGCCGCCGCCCACGCGAGTGGCCCCGGCGCCTCGAGACGCAGCGCCAGCTCCAGGGCAACCACGCGCTGCGTCGCCACTACCCGCGCGGGGCCGCCCACGACGACAACGCCACGCAAGAGGAGATTGAAGAGGAGGAGGAGGAGGAGGAGGAGGAGGAGGAGGGGGACCAACAAGGGACGCGCGGAGTAGCACCTCGCGGGGCGCGCGAAATATTCCGGAGCTCCAACGACGAAGCGCTCGGCAATTGTTCTGCTGGTGCATATTGGACAGCAGCGCTAAATGCGCACGCCGCCGCCAAGACCGCGGCCATCAAGAGCGACGCCGATCTCCTCTCCGAGGAGGACGCGCCCACGTTGCCCAAGGAAGTGGCAGCCCCCGTCTTCGAGGAGCTCACCATCTGGGCCAAGTGCACATGTTTCGAACGGCGACCCCTCATGGGCGCCCGAAACGTCATGGGTCCCAGGCACGTCTTCACATAGAAGCACCGGAAGGGCCCCGGCGGCAAGATCGCGCGGATCACCCGGTGCCGCGCGGCGCTCAGGGGCGCCCGCGGCATGGGCGCCGCCGCGCTGGAGACGTCCGCGGGGACAGCGAGGCGCGCCTCGCACCGCGCGCTGTCCTCGGAGAGGTCGCGTCGCCCAATCTGCGTCTAAGTCGCCGCGGACGCCGAGGAGGCCCTCCTGCAGGGCATGACCGATGCCGAGATGCAGTAACAAGGTGACACCGAGCGAGGCGAATCTCACCTTGCCACCCAGCATCGCAGCCATCTCCAGGCAGGTGCCTGGCCACGAGTTCGTTCGACAAGAGGACCGAGCGCACTCGCTGCATCAAGCCGGGCACGAGTTGCAAGGACGCACCCCGAGCCGTCTCCACGATGCTCGCCTGGGCCGCGTGCTCACCCGAGCGCAACGCCACGCGCGCCTGGCGGGGCCCGGAGCTCGGAACAAGCACGAGGTGCCCGGCGCCTTCATGTTGTCGAAGCACGTTGATGACGATCTGAAAACCGCTGGAAAAAATGGAGCACGTCGACCGGCTTATCGGCCACATCGAGAGCGTCTTCTGCAAGATCTCAAGGGCGATTACGACGACTTCACCAGTTGCGGTTTTCACCAGCACCGCAGCGCCGACGGCGCCGCGACGCTCGACCTGGACGAGTACATCGACGCCTGGATACCGATCAGGCACGTCGACTTGGCCAAGGCGAAGGCCGACGAGCCAGCAGGAGGTCAACTACCGGACCTCTTCGTCACTCCGTTGGGAGCAGCTGCTTGCGCCCTGCTCGCACAACACCGCGTCGCTGCCTGCATCGTGGCATTGCAGAGTGGCAAGAGCAAGCTGCCCATACGTCATGTTATGCATCTCATTCCTGTGGCCCTTGTCATGCAGAAGATCCAGGCGGGCATTTCCTGTCCTGCCAGTGAATGCGTCGGCCAAATCTGCGCTCGCAGCGTCGGGCCCTTCAAGAGGAGGAGAAAAGGTACGGCGTGCGAGGCGCCGTCAACACTCGCTTGGGCAAGTGTCGCAGCACCGCCAACGAGGTCTGCCACTTGCTCGACGAGGTGACCCGCTCACACAAACTTGAGTGCAGGTCTTCGGTCGGCTCCCAGCTGGTCGCAGCACGCGGCGCATATGATGGTTTGCAGGCCTACGTCCTGGCGCTCCACGAATTGATCCAGGACCGAATCTCAGCCAACGAGACCAGGAAGCTGAGAGAGGAGGGAGGGCACGCAGTTCCAGCAACCCTGGTCGTGGACGGGATGTCCGTCTTCGCGGCACTAGCCATGGACCCTGTTCGACCGCCTCCAGAGAACAGCATAGCAGGCCACCGATGGTGGCTATGAGGTCAGCTCCGCACCAGCTTAGACACGCTCTGGTGCGATACGCGGGACATGATGGCCGACCCCACGACGAAGGGGGGCACCGGCCGGGAACTCATCCTGGACACGTTTAATGGGAAGCTCAGTGACGACCGCGCCACGGTCAAGCTGAGCGACGAGCGGCACAAGAAGGCTGCGCCCAGCTCCCGCCACAGGAATCTCACCCAGAACGCGGACGACTCGCCAGACTAAGTCACCGAACTACTCACCATCAAGCCATCTTGGTTGCGGGCGACTCCAGCAGGGGATTGCATGACAATGTCATTCTAATCCCAGCCGCACAGTCGTCAGAGAAAGAAATAAAGGCAGCACCATGCTGCGAACTATGTTCGCGACACGCGACATAGTGAGCCACACAAGTGAGGAGCTGCGTCGAAGAACTGTGTCCGTGGAGCAGCAGGCTGTTGCGAGTTGAACACGTCAATGACAGATTATGTGTTTCACCAAAGTCCTGTTGATCCGGCTTCCTTCGCACATTCTTATGAGAAGCGTGGTCAGTAGAACTTTCCCTATGTAACGAACGTTCGCCTCGATGTGTCAGGCCCGGCTTGCGGGCGTGAGCCGACGAGGCACAATCAGATTCGCTTGAGCACCAGACTCGATCGGTAGCATCGTTCTCTCTGCCCCTGCCGGGAACGGAATACCCCTGAAATACTTGTCACGGGTAACCTTTTTCCCCGCTGCTGTTTTGGTTCTGGGGCACGTAGGTCGGCCGACTTGCGCGCATGTTTGACACACGTAGTTTCGTTTGTGCTCTATCGGGCAAGAAGATCGCCAATCATAGCACCAGTATCTAGCATAATTCTCCCCATTTTTATCATCTTCCTCCTCCTCCTCCTCGTCCTCTTCCTCCTTATCATCGTCCTCCTCCTCCTTTTTCTCCTCCTCCTCCTCCTCTCCCTGCCTGCCACCCCCAGTATTAGTTTTAGTGTTCCTATTCCGAGTCGTATTCCTACGTATCCTTCTCCTCTTTCCTCCTCCTCCACCTCATCATTATCCTCCTCCGCCTGGCCTTGTTTTCCACCTCCACGGATAGATATCGAAAGGGAAAGAGAGAGAGAGAGAGAGAGGGGAAATGAGAGAGAGAGAGAGCACAGAAAAGCACACACATATGATAAGCGAGGAAAAATGAGAAAGAGAGAGAGAGAGAGAGAGAAAAAGAATGGCGAGGAAAATTAGAGACATTGAGAGACACATATGGACAGGAGAGAATAGAGTGGACGGGCGGTGCACCCGCGCGGCGGCCGCGCCAGTGTTGACCTTCACCAATTGATCAGTTTGCTGGTCCGTTTTGGAGGCGGCCGCTGAAAGGCGCGCGTGGGGGGGGGGGGCTTCGGGGGAGGGGCAGGAGGAGGAGAGTGAGGAAGGAAAGAGGGTTGGAAGGAAGGACGGAACATATGGAGGAGGAGGAGGAGGAGGAGGAGGAGGAGAAGGAAGAGGAGGGCCTGAGGAGCAGGAGGAGCAGGAGCAGGAGGGGGAGGAGGAGGAGCAACAGCAGGACCAGGAGGAGGAAGAGGAGGAAGAGGAGGAGGAGGAGGAGGGGAGGGAGGAGGAGGAGGAGGAGGAAGAGAGGGGCTGAGGAGCAGGAGGAGCAGGAGCAGGAGGAGGAGGAGGAGCAGCAGCAGCAGGACCAGGAGGAGGAGGAGGAGGAGGAGGAGGAGGAGGAGGAGGAGGAGGAGGAAGGGGAGGAGTCCGATCGCCCTCCTCTTGCTCGCCCGCTCCTTCCATCTGCCAGGGTTGGGAGGTTGCTTTTCTCCTCCCTCCGCCGCCTCTCCGCTGCAGCGGCGCCAGTCATTAACCAGCTCCCTTCGTCGCCCGAGACCCTATCTCCCCTGCCAACATCCAAGAGGCTGGCCTGGCTTCTGATCCCCTGCCCATGCAGGAGGGCCACACGCACAGGGTTCACTCGGCGCCCCTGCGGGAGATCGTCCGACGTCTGGCTCGTGATTGTGCGGTAGAGCGATTCCCTATCCCGAGTGGCGAAAAGCTGAAACGACAGGGGATCGCCTCGTGCAGACGACTCCCCTCATGTATGAGGACCTCTTGCGCATCGATTCTCGCCCAATGCCCTGCGATGTGATCTCCTCCCATGCTGTCCCGCGCGGGGAAGGAAAAAGATCACAGCACCGACTGCACACGTGACAGTTCCCTGCTTCTTGCGTCTCGTTCCCTCTCCTTGCCTCCCCCCTGCCCCTCCATCAGGCCGCCCTCCTCTCCGTCCCTCCTCCCTCCACTCTCCCCCCTACTCGGCGGCGGGCTCTCGGGCGGCCGCAGGCGGGCCGCCAGAGCACCCGCCCAGTACGCCAGCACGTCGCCCACATCGGGCTGCATCAGCTGACAATGCGGTGCGATCCGGATCCCGAGCTTCTCAAGTCCGACGTCGCCGATGCATCGCGGTGCATTGGCGATCTTAGAGCATTTGCTCCAGCCCCAGTTGGGCGGCCTCCAAAGTGGCAGCGTTCACATTCCATCTCTGTTCCAGTCTTTCCATGCCAGGCTGACGCGCGCTCGCACCAAAGTCTTGCGGGAGTGAGTGTGCCCGGAGCGCACCGTGCTGTCAGAACTGGACGGGCACGCAGGAGGAAGAGAATGGGAACGGAGAAGGGATACAAGAAGAGCAAGGACGAGGTGGCAAGCAATGAAAACCGACAGATAGATTGACGACGAGCTAGGGAGCAAGGGATAGAGGGAGGAAGGGGAAGAAGCGAAAGCAACATGGTGATGGTATGTGCGACCTGGCGTGTCTGCGATATCGCGACCTGAACAAGCATCGTATTGGGCACGTGGCTGCGCTTGTCTCCGAGATCCCTCGGCTTGCTGGATGAGATGCAGTGCTCGGCCAGTGTAACGAGGGTATCGGTGCGACCTCCACCAACGTGTGCGGAGCAGATATCCGGGTGCGCTGCTGCGCACATCCGCCAGCGCACTCGGGGGAGCTACGTAGAGACGGACCTGGCGCGGCCCTGCCGCGGCGGGGGGGCTTCGGGGGGCCACTGGAGCTGCTCGGGGGCTCGTGTTGGGCACCGTGGAGAGATCCCGGAGCGGGGGAGCGCGGAGACGTCTGGGGAGTCCGACCACGCGCCAGATCGGCATCGGAGAGACGTCAGCGCACGGGTGGTCGCCCTTGTCGCGGGTGGGATGGCCCCGCCGCAGTCCTCACCAATTGTGTTGGCAGCTCATCTCGGCAGCACGCTCTCCAGGTCTGTCAAGGTAATTTGGAGACAGGTATGCAAGACAGTGAACTTCGAAGGGCTTGGTTCGACTCCACGAGCATTTGCTGGAAGACGAAGTCGAAATGTCCTCAAAGCAAATTTCTTAATTTGAGTCTCCCTGATCCCGCTCGCCCGTGAGCCCTGTGGGCCGCGGTTTTGGAGGCCATTTCAGTGAGAAAGTCATCACGCTCATTCAGACGTGGTCGATGGATGTCTCCCAGTCGTAGGGGGGATCCGCATGAGTACTGTCGTGCAGGTGGTGGGGCAGCAGAAGAGGAGTCCAAGGGAAATGGCAAGGGAGTGGAGGGCGTGAAACGGAGGGAAGGGGAAGGGAGGGGCGGTGAGGAAGCGGGGACAGGAGAGGGAATTGAGCAGTTTGGGGAGGATTGGGGAGGCATCCGGCTCTCTTTAGGTGAATGTGTGAAGTGTTTCTGGACCCTGGTAACTCAGGGGCCTCGGGCCAGACGCTGGGGTGAGTTGGTCCGACGCCACCGCCCTAGAACTGGCAGACCCGCCTGGTTGATTCAAGCTCCGACGTGAGCGCGAGAAGTACGCTGCGTTCAATTGTGGTTCCCCTGCTTCCTTGGCTGGACCTCATGTGCATGTGGAAGGAACGTTGCCTCCAGGTCCTCTTCATAGAGGGTTCTGTGATAGAGGTTTTGCTGGCGCGTGACAGCGTGAAAAGGCGATCGGTGCTCTTGCTCGGCCTCTTGCTACAACAGCGATTCATGTTGCCGCGTCTCTTTCCGATCTGGTTCCGCAGTGGCTTAGTACAGGGGCGCACGCAGTGAGCGCGACCAGAATCGAGACTCAGACCGAGCGGTTCGAAGGCCGTTCACGTGCGCAGAGGTCTGGGACATCATCCTTTCAAACAACCCGAATAGTAAGGATGGGCAACCTTCCCAAGGGTACCCTTGCATCCTTGCCTCCTCGGTCTATCCTTGGCCGCTTTGGCTGGCCAACCTCGTTCGAAAAACGTTCACGTGGCACTCCAAGGCCCTTGCATCCTTACCGCGCATCCTTAGTATACGGGTTGACTGTACCCCGCTCTGCAGGTGCATCTGTGCACGATGTCAGATTCCATTGACTCATGGCTGTGCGGACCCGCCCCAGCAGCGCAAGCCGCAAGCCCAATCCGACACACCTTTATCACACAAACGCAGTTTCAAGCGCACCCAGGCTCGTAAGCCCAGCCCTAGCCGCTCTCGAATTCTGCCTTGGTCTTGAGCGCAGTGTACTCGAACGCCACGCACCCAGTCCCCAATGCAACCAAACATGCACCGCAGACCCGGTCTGAAAGTACGTCGACATGAAAAGCGATTGAATAGAGATCGTGACAATCGTGGTTCGATGGCGTTTCGAACGGGTTGGCCCTTGGAGGTTGATTGTATGTCATCGAAATTTATATAGTTCATCGCGGCGACCCCCACGAAGGTGCTAACGCAGCAATGTGTATGCGTGTGCGCAAGATGGTTACATCGAGCTCTTTGGGCTCGGTAGGGCAATATTGGGGCCATCGAGCAGCGCCGCGTCGATGTAGTGTGGCTTGTCGCAACACTGCATGGTTATTGCATTGCCTCGGGCGGGCATCGGAGACGTACTTATTTGGGACTCATGTGGGATCTCGTGGGACCTTCTCTGTTTGGGATATTGGGCTGTCTTGGGCGCCAGGATTCGACCGACCCATCGAGAAGAAGCTCTGCAAAGCCAGCTCAGGACCGCCTTGCTTTCTGAGCTTATATGCATGCGCGGTTCTAATATTCGTGGTTGGCTTCCCATGGCCCTGCTGGAGAGTTCTTTTTGAGCTCCCTTGGGCTTCAAGGGTCATCTTGGTGTCTCTTGGGTCATGCATGAACCACATAGCTGATAGGCATTCAAAGATGTTCACATGTGACGTTGGCTCGGTGGCTGCCTGTGGCTGCTGATGGGGAGGGCATTCGAGTCTATGTCGGCCAGAGATGGCACGCACACACACACACACACACACACACACACACACGCACACACACCACACACACACGCACGCACGCACGCACGCACGCACGCACGCACGCACGCACGCACACTTACACACACACACACACACACACACACACACACACACACACACACACACACACGCACACACAGCACACACACACAGCACACACACACACACACACACACACACACAGAGCACACACACACACTCACACACGCGTCTGAACCCATCCCTTAAGAATTTAAACGCTGTTCTGCTTGTGGCGTGCTGAATTGCAAAAGGAAGCTTGGCCATTGGCTGCGGTGATACTGTGCCAATAACTGCTGCCTCGCGCATCCCCACCCCACCAGCCCATCCAGAAACGATTCCCAGGCGAGCTGTTGATATAATGGAAGTCAAGGAGCGATAGTGAATCAAGGATTGGGGGCACCAGTCAAATCGTTGTAGGAATCAGCCCAAGCAGCTTCCAAAAACGGCCATATCGGTGCGAAATGTAAGCATTTGGGCGCCAACTTGGGGCGATTGGGGAACCAATTCGTGGCCATCGTGGCGCTCTCTTGGCGCCTCTTGGGAGCCTTGCGGGCCTTTGCGTGGCCATTCTCGACGTTTGGAGCCCGAGCAATTGGCTTTCGGAGCGCTCAAGGCTCTTTGGGCGGCCTTTGCGGCCATCCTGGCGCCATCGTCAGGCTTCGGAGGCGCATCCGAAGCAAAATTGCTGTGATTGGTCAATTAGTATGACGGCGTGCGCACGACCTGCCGACCCCTCCTATTCCAAGTCCGTGTCCGGTTTCTGGGGGTCTTGCGGTCCGTTGTTGTCCTGGGGAGCCTTCCCTTCTTGCAACATTGTTGCACAGCCTGAAAAGGGCGAGAGTTTCGCATCGAATGTTCAGGCAGGCCTAGGACGAGGATGAATCGCGCCCGATCGTTCCCGAGTGCACTCAGAGCAATCCAGAGCGCTCGGGACTTGCGGCGACGCCCGATACGCCGGGGGTGTTGCCAGAAGGGGAAAAAACATACAGACACAATTAATCGTCGACTCCCAGGAAAAGATGGGAAAATATGGGCAGTGGGGGGGAAGACGAAAGTCCATGAAATATGGGAAAATGCAAGGAATTCTGGGATTTGTGTGTATTTGTTTGTGTGTCCCTGGGCCCCTTGAGTGTCCCTGGGCCGAGGTGCCGCCAGGGTCAGAGCCTTTCCTGAGAGCAGCTCGATCGAACGAACAGCGAATCGCCGCAAGTATGAAGTCGGACGCGTCCCTCTACAGGAGGAATATGCAAGAGTAGTCAAACAATAGTCTGGGGATGATTTTTTTACTATTTTTGAATATTTTTGGAATATGTTTGGTGGGGGTATGTTTTTTCTGCCAACATCCGCCTGTAGGGGGACATGCTCGACCTGACGCAAGTAGCGTTTCCCGAATCAGCCTCCCCTGGCGGGTCGGGAGGATGTATCACATCCTCCCGACTTGCCAGGTCTCAGAGATTTCCGATTCAGCCCCATCCAGGCTTACCCTCCCGCCTTCGTCTTACCACGGCGTGGAACCCCCGGGACGGACCCCGTCAGCGCCGGGCCTTCCAGGAAGGCTCCACCACGCGTCCCAGATCGGCCAAGCCCTGCGCGCCGGGCGTCCCTGCGGACCCATTGACCCTCGCGGGCCCTGGTGGCCTTTCTTGTCCCCACTCTTTTGAGCCTTTTCCCCCACCCCGCCCTTTGGGGAGGGCCCGCACGGCAAATGTCAATTAAGTCGGGCCTGTCCCTCTACAGGGGGAATATTCAAAAGTAGTAAAAAAATAGTCCAGGGACGATTTGTTGATCATGTTCTGTTATTTTGGGGAACTTTTGGATTAGTTTTTGTTCTTCGTCCAAAATCCCCCTGTAGGAGGACACGCCCCACCTGAGGCAAATGTTGCGCCTGCGTCTCCGGATCCCGTCGGGCGTCCTCCCCCCCACTCTCCCCCTCCCACTCCGAGGAGGAAGTGCGGGTGCCTCCCCGCTCTCGGGAGCACCGTCTCGCCCAGAGCGGCCCGACGTTCGCTCCGAGCACGCGCCCGCAAGGTCGAAGTCAGATGCAGAGGGATGTGTTAGACTCGGGCCGAACGAAAGGGGACAGGGAAAGAGGGGGGGTTCGAAATCTGCTGCATGCAGCTGGTTTCGGCCCCGCCGCCGGGCCCATTCCTCGATACATGGGCGCCTCCAAGCCCGGAGGCGCTGGGAAGATCGGCTACGTGAGCTGATTCTCTACCCCACCCTCTGCTGTCCCCCCCTGTCGTTCCCCCCGATAGACACCCCGGCAGGGGTGCGACACGCGCAGCGAGAGTCGGACTGCAGGCGCGATCAGCACAGGCGTCAGCTTCCGGAGGTCCGCGCGGATCTCCTGGACACCCTGGCGGTGCGCAGGCGCCGCCCCTGACGCGCTCCGTGCCCCAGGAAGGGGGTCCAGCCAAGCAAGCCGCGAGGGCACAGGTGAGCCCGTGTTCGTACACCTTCTTGTTCGCAAGCCGCTCCAAGACACCAGGCGGTGGTATCTCTGGCGCTCGGGCGACAGCTTGTGGCCTGGGGCGATCGGTCGCACTGGTGCGACCCAGAAGCAGCATGAACTAGGAGGAGGAGGAGGAGGAGGACGACGACGACGACGAGAAGGATGAGTCTGAGTGTGAATGAGTTTGAGTAAGAGTGAGTCTGAATGTGAGCCTGATTGTGAGTAAGTCTTGACCGAGTGTGAGTGAGCCTGAGCATGGGCGAGCCTGAGCTCGAGCGAGTGTGAGTGTGATGGGGAGGAGGAGGAGGAGGAGGAGGAGGAGGAGGAGGAGGAGGAGGAGGAGGAGGAGGAGGAGGGTGGGAGCCGTCGCTTCGTGCTGCGTCGTGCTCGTGTTGCAACTTCCGGAGTGCGGGCCACTGCGGTTTCAGAGAGGGCCCGGGAAGGCCCAGACCTTGCCGCGTGTCTTGCGGCGTTCCTCGTATATTTGGGCGCGCTTGGGGCCGCAGGGGGACTCGGTGTCCAACATACGGCACACCAAGGCAAGACTTCGAATGCACCCCGTGGTTGGGTCGGGAGCGGCCAAGAGGGGGGTGATGACCAGCGGGGGGGAGATATCATGGCGTGGGCCATGATATGTTCCCAGATTTCACGGCGCCTCTTCTTATTTCATTACGTCCCTGGCCCCCCACCCCACCCCCTGGGCCGCGCACATGCCTCCGGCCATGATTTACACCCCCCCTCTCTTGGACGCCCCCCTCTTGGCTGCCCCCGATTGGGCCGTTCCAGAGAGGGCCCGCGGGGCTCCTCCCGGAGCTCGGGCGCCACCCGAGAAGCACAACAGCAGATCCTCGATCTCGACTTCCCGAGGCCCGCTTCGGACCCCCGGGGGAAGAAGCCGCACCAGGATGACAAAAAGGGCCTGTCCGCGAAGGCGCCGAGGGTTGCCCTCTCAGGCTCCTCCTCCTCCTCCTCCTCCTCCTCCTCCTCTTCCTCCTCCTCCTCCTCCTCCTGCTGGCTCTCTCGCCCCCGGGGGCGGGCGGAAGGACCGCAAATGACAGCAGGAGCAAGATGAGGGCGGTTGCGCCGGCGGAAGCAACAGCAGATCTTGCCGGGGGACATCAACGCCGTCTTGCCCAGGCTTCTGAGTCTCAGGAGGGGAAAAACACACAGACACAATTCATCGTCGATTCCTCAGAAAGTATGGGAAAATATGGGAAGTGGGGGGG